CCACCCCTCAGCCAGTCAGTCGATACCTGTACCATATAGAGTTTTCGATTTTCAATGTCATTCGAATAAATTGAAGTTTTCGACAATCCCACCACCCACCCACCACCCCCTATCCTCTTACGACCATTCCCTAATAAGGGGCACTCACTTCACGAAACGAAAAATGATAATACGAAGGTCCATAGAATTTATAGGCTCGTAAAGGCCGTTAAGATCCTTGAAGGGTGGGCCTAACGAGCCTCGGGGTTACGTCTATAGCGGTAAGGGTGGTTGCGGTGTTACGCGGACGCGCCTTTAGGGATATCTTTATTCTTTAATTAGCAAGGTACGCGAATTATCATCCGACGAAAAAGTCCACAGCTTTAAAAGCTCGACGGACTGCTAAAAGAGTTTTTTTAAAAAATGGCCACTTTACCGAGCGCAGCTTCTTTTATATCTGTCTTCCTTCTCACTTGCTACTGTTTCTTTTCTATCTATGTATCTCTCTCTCTCTCTCGCTTGCCCCCTCTCTTTATAGCCACTTCTCTGTCTCTCTCCTTCCCACTTGCCGGCCCTGCTAACCCTCCGCCATGGAGCAATCAGCGAACGCTCCGGGGCACATTACGATTCAGCAGAAAATTCGCGAAAGACTGCTCCTCGTAATTTTCACGAGGGCACGGGTCCTGCTTGCTCTCCCTTCTGCGTCCCTTCCGGAAATGGAATACCCAGGGACTGTACGGGGTAGTTCGCTGCGAACAGGAGTGAGTCACTTCCTTTTCCGGTAAACCGCAGAATCCCTAGGAACTCGACGGTTATTACGAGAGTTTGTAAATCATGACTATCAGGCTATTCTGTTTGTCCGTGTAGTATTAATATATGACATACGAATATTGTACAATTAAAGCTGATAGTATTAATTATGTATGCCATATATATATATCATCTCGAGATAGATAATCTATGTCATCTCGATAGACCTGCTTCCTCTGGGTACTTCAATGTGCGATTCACTTGCATCATTGGCAGGTGTCATTGGATGCAGTGAATTTTCATTGACCGTGAAATAATGGTATTGTCGTTCACTTGGAAAAATGCCAAGGAATTCGTTTGCAATCCAATCCGGCTATTTAAATCGGATCGAATATTCTATAGAAAAATATAGGGACAAATATTTTTACATAACCTCTTGCTACAGCTGGGAACGAGAATAAAACGTTCACTTTAGAAAGTCCCGCTGTCGGCATTAAAGCTGCTGTACGGTATCCCAGTGTTTTCTTCGTCTCTGCCATAGTAGACTGGTACTTCATTTATATATTTTTTTTTTGCGTCCGTACAAAAACGCTCAATTTTCTGAGTTATAGAAATCCCGGCGAGATATGTAATTTCGCCGTGCTATTTCATCTCTTGATATTCCCATAAAAACCAGAAATCATTTCTGACCCCTCTGTCGCGCCCCTCCGCGCTCTATTAGCGGATACGTTAATGAACGATTGACAGGCGCGATGGCATTTTTGTTTCACGGTGATCGCACACCCCACGTGTAGCATGAGGTGATCCATGTGTGTAAATTGAACTTTTTTGTTGAAAAAAAAAAAAAAAAAAAGTTTTTTCTTTAAAAAAAAAAAAGTCGTTACTTCGGTAACCAATGCAAGAGCAATTCGTGCATCGTTTTCAGCAGGGATGCTGGAACGTGCTGTGAAACTAAAAGATCACCGGCATTTGCCCGCGACTTAACCTCGCGACTCGCTGTCGGATTCGAGGGTCGTTGGCGGAGGATGGAAGGCAGGAGGCAGGAAACAAGGTTGAAGAGGACTGTACCTAGAGGGCGGATACGAGTGGAAGGAGGATGAAGAGAGGAGTGAGAGAGAGGGGGAGTTGGTTAG